GCCACTTTTTCCCAAATCCCGAAAAGCCGGAAACTTCCCCACTTTTTCCCAAAAATTTTGCTGCCGAGCGAGAGGCAGATCCTCCTTCTGCATGTGTGTCCTGTGTCCCCCACACATTGCAAAAAATAGAAGAGCAGTCGGATTGCAGGATTCACGGTCTGAGCCATAATGCCCAAAAATGTTTTTTCTCGAAACTCCCCGTATTATATTGTATCATTCACCGTATATGCCTTCCTACTAGGGAGCTCTCCAGCTTTCCCCACCAGTACTGCAGAATGCTGAGATGCGTTGGTATGTTTGAATGTTGAAACCTTAGAGCAGGGCTCTGCTGCTGTTCAGCTGCTTCCAGCTATTCAGCGTAGGTAAGCAAAACCTTTGAAAATTCAGTCTCTCAACCAATTTCCTATCGTTACCATTGTGTGCCTCCCTCATTTCCTTACCTATCGTTTCCCACTTTTTGCTCTCAAGGCTCTTTTGGAACTGAATTGCGAATTTTTGAAAGTTTCTTGGCTCACCGAGCACCTACAGCACGCTCCGCCCATAATGAAATGAGTGTGGGCAGAGCGCTCCCTCATTTCGTTCGCCCGACATTGCTTCCTCATTTCGTCCGCCAACATGTTGCCTATCATTTCCCGCATTTTCCAATATCAGCGTTCTCATAGAATCTAATTATGGAATCTTTATAAGTTTCGTAGAAAGCACCGCTCACTAGCGCGTCCCGCCCTAAGTGAGTGTGCCTCCCTCATTTTGTACGCCAACCGACCGATTGCCGATCGTTTCCACTTTGTTCCCTATCCGGGATCGAAGCAATTTTTGAAACGAGTAACTCACAGCAGTGCGCACGCCCCGCCCACAGTGGGCGGAGCACAGCTTAGCTCATGTGTGTTTCGTACATCTTGGTCCACACCCATTCCACCCTTGACCCGGCCCTTCAAACCGGCCCTTCAGGTGATGCCGAATTTCTGGACAGGCACACAGACGCACACACAGACGACACATGTTTGCCATTCATAGGAATAGGATGACGTGGTAGAGGTGATCAGGATAGACACAGTCGTTTTCAGGTAGTAGGAATAAAAGTAAGGAAAAGTGGGAAAGTGAGTGTGAAACGCTGTGATGCTTCCTTGGTGTAGAACCATATGCTTCACAAAGATGAGTACATCTCATACAAAAAAGCTTTTGCGGGGAGGGCTAACCACGATCCTCTTACCCACATCAACTATTCATCTTTAGTCAAGGTAGTATACAGACCGGTTCAGAGTCTCTTCTCGAGACACATATGATGACAAGATAGGCTGATGGTGAGATTCACAGCCATAAGTGCTGGACAAGGAAAGGTTCCTCATGTACTACTTCAATTTGCGAACTATTTGAAACTTCACGCGCAAGAAGTTCACTGTGTGAGCGAAGTTCCTCAACATTTCCCTGCATTTTCGCATGTGCTCGTTCGCTCGTTGCTCCACTTTTATGGCACATTTCTTTTTCTCCTCCAGTCATGGCGCGGAGATGAATGATTTCAAGCGTTCGTTCAACTGTTCGTTCACTACAATGGGTTGACAAGAAAACTCAAGATAAAAAAGCTTTACGAAGCGGATATATGCCTTCTAAAACAGGGCTCTCATTGCACACTTTCATCCTTTTCTACATGCCTTGGAAAGCCGAAGCCGCCATACATACCGCGTAGACCTCCGAAGCCATCTTGACCGCCGCCTGGACCTCCTACTATGACGGGACCTGAAAGCAGCATCAGCATCGGTAAATAGTTCAAATCAAGAGAGCATGCCTGAAACGTCAATTAACAGTAACGAATAGCTTTCGTACCTGGACTGCCGATTGTGCCTGGAGCTGGACCTCCGAAGCCGTTTTGACTGCCGCCTATACTTTTACCTAATATGCTCGAATAGTCAATTAACAGTAACGAATAGTTCTTCAAACCTGAACCGCTAATTCCGGCTTCTGGACCCCCGAAACCACCTCGGCCGGCGAGATGACCTCTAAATATGACGGAACCTGAAAGTAGCACATCAGCATCGGTAAATAGTTTAAATCAAAAAAGCATGCCCGAATCGTCAATTAACGAATAGCTGTTCAAACCATGAGAGTGAGGGCGGTGTGGATCGCCACCGCCTAGGCTGCCTGAACCACCGAAATCGCTTGGACCGCCCGGGCCACCGAAACCTCCTTGACCTCCGAAGCCATCTTGACTTCGCCGCCTGACCTCATACTGATGACGACCTGAAAGTAGCATCAGCATCGGTAAATAGTTCAAATCAAAAAAGCATGCCCGAATCGCCAATTAACAGTAACGAATAGCTTTCGTACCTGGACTGCCGATTGTGCCTGGAGCTGGACCTCCGAAGCCGTTTTGACTGCCGCCTATACTTTTACCTAATATGCTCGAATAGTCAATTAACAGTAACGAATAGTTCTTCAAACCTGAACCGCTAATTCCGGCTTCTGGACCCCCGAAACCACCTCGGCCGGCGAGATGACCTCTAAATATGACGGGAACCTGAAAGTAGCACATCAGCATCGGTAAATAGTTTAAATCAAAAAAGCATGCCCGAATCGTCAATTAACGAATAGCTGTTCAAACCATGAGAGTGAGGGCGGTGTGGATCGCCACCGCCTAGGCTGCCTGAACCACCGAAATCGCTTGGACCGCCCGGGCCACCGAAACCTCCTAGACCTCCGAAGACATCTGAACCTCCGAAGCCACCTGCTCCTCCGGAACGGCCTATAAATCCCTCATATTCGGGAAACACCTCACTAATTATCGTCTCCAACTTTTGACGGATCTATTTTAGTATATGAGTTTGGCCCTAAAATTAATGACCTTGTCACTAAGCTACAGATCTTTCAAGCTGACAAGATTCAAAGGTGATGAACTTATATGGGGAGCAAAAGGCAAGGATAGTGACCAATAATACATAGGCGCAGCTTTGTCAACGCGAGCTTGACCTACTTCATGACGAGCGTTATAGCAACAAAGTGCTTTGGCTCAAAAAAATGACAAAGAGCGGTACGATACATTGATCATGGATGGTAGAAAATGATTATGACATAAGAGCTGATAGTTTGAGGCTCCTTTTGGATTTGGGACCTTAATAAGACGACCAAGCCTCAAACTAGTCGTTTCATTTCATGTAAATATTATGGTCTAGCTTCGACTCATACAAATGATAAGGACGTGGGGACAATGGTTGAGAGGTATTACTTATAGAAGTGCGGAGTTCGAGGTTACTCTACGGATTTTGAATAAACTGTGTCTATAAGATTGTACCTTATCAGATCAAATGTCAAGTATGTAACGCAACATATAGTGAGATAAGGGTTCTAGCCGTTCTTGTCAAGGAACATCTGGATAGCATAAGACGCAGTACTTCTTCAACAGTTCATAGGATGCACGAAGGAACATAATGGCCCTGATTTGAACGAGCTTGAAGGGTTCTGGGTGTCAAGGAGGAACACATCGATGAACAACCAGGGTGACCGTCCTTCAAAACCAGTGAACTTTCGCCGTTGATATCATGCTGCGAGCTGTAGACCATCGAAGAGCATTACGAGAGAAGAGAGAGAAGATAATGTTCTTGGTGGAGTGGAGCATAAATCCGAATTTCCAACAACTTTTAGGCCTCCGAAGCGACGACAACCTTCCAATCTCGTGAGGCACAACATTACTAGCACAAGCTACAACTTATCATGCGGTTGCAAGGAAAGGAAACCCGGGAACTCCTATGGCTTTTGATGCGAGAGCTCCAGACTTGAGAACGGAAAACATTGACGGCCTTCTGGATACGCGCTAAAGGTCCGAAAATACGCGGAAAAGTGAATGCCTGGGCATTACAGATGAACCAAAAAAAGAAGGGATATGCTTGGTCAAACCACGGGAAAAAGAAACCGCTGCAAGTGAAAACAAAGGATTGTCAATTTGTTCAAGTAGGCGCGGAACGTTTGCCAAAGTCGCCCTGTCTTCTACGGTCAGCCATGACCCTACAAGATGTGTCTTCTATACATTCTACGGAGAGGCATGAGCATGAAGTATGTGGTAAAGAGTTCAACGACCAGAACCGTATTGTCTCAGTGTACATCAGTGAAAAACATACGGAAATGGAGGGGCTAGGTTATTTGGACTCGTATTAAAGCTGTTTCCCACTGAATTCAAATCTAGGGTTAAAGGCACTTTCCGCAATAAACTAAGGCTATAACCTCTTAAACGTATCATACGATCCGGTAGGCGATTGTGGAGGTTGCACCGCATTCAAAACGGAATATGGCACGC